ATACTGGGAACCAGGGGCGGCTGACCATTTGGAAACTCGGGCACTGCCCGAGGGCTCGGGGTCAGTAGGGGGCCCCATGAGATGCCCCTGGTACCTTTTTCATAGGCTTTTTTGAGTTTTGGCAAGGACACAGGGGCCCCATGATCCCCTATTGCCTGGGGGGCCCCATGAGTTGTCAGTCCGCCCCTGCTGGGAACATTTTACCAGGACATCTTTAGCTCCAGCTATGATCCCCAGATAAAACTTGCCTATGCATAGTATACAACATTAACTCACTATCACCTTTTACGTGATCTGTCTATAAAAAAGAAACTGCCATGCAGCTCTTGCAACCTGTAAAATTGGTTTAAAAATAAAAGAAAGTATAAGGAGCTGAAAGCCTACACTCTTTTAGTAAACATTCACCATGTAGTTGTATATGAGTCAAAGTTATCCTCCAGACCGAGGTCGCATACTTCCAAAGTTATTTTTAATGCCTTTATAATGAGAAAGCTTAGCCTTGCGTCAGCTGCAATCGGTGCAAGGGTTCTACCGAAATGATTTCTTTGTAGGCTTTAATGAGTATTTAAAGTACCCATAGACCAAGTATAAATAGTTCAGAAAACAGAAAATAAGTAACCTTTTTACAAGTATACCTCGAGTAAAACCTAACTTGAGTAAAATTTAAAGTCAGGCCTTCAAAAGAACCATGTTGCTGATACACACTTCACTCTTTGTTCAGTACTCCCATTGAAAGTCGATCACCATTCAACTTACAAAAATCACTTTTGGGTTCCCAGCCCTGTATACCAAGAGTCTAATGCTCCTTTAGTGTAAGGAAGGTGTCTCCAAACCAGGGGCGGACTGACAACTCATGGGGCCCCTGGGCAATAGGGGATCATGGGGCCCCTGTGTCCTTGCCCACACTCCAAAAAAGCCTATTAAAGGTACCAGGAGCATTTCATGGGGCCCCCTACTGACCCCGGGCCCTCGGGCAGTGCCCGAGTGCTCGAATGGTCAGTCCACCCCTGCTCCTAACTGCGGCCTTCCAGCTGTTGAGGAGCAACAATTCCGTCATGCCTCATGCCCACGAAGGTCAAAGCCTTGCAATGCCTCATGGGCCTTACAGTTTCTCAATGGGTGGAGGGCAGTGGTTTGGAGACCTCTGGTCTCGGACAGCAGTTCCCAACCTCAGTCCTTAGAAAAGGTGAGTAAAAAGGAGTCACATGTGGAACAACCCTAAGGCTGGACCCAAAGTCTCAATGCCACCACCCTTAAACTGGGCACAACGCATTGGAAGAGAGTTCTTGCTACTCGCCCACACTATCATCCACTCACGACCAATGATCCAGTCAATCCAGCTCGGTCTCCAACCCTATCAAGTAACCTCAGTCCTCGAGAACCCCCAACATGCCATATTTGTGGGATTTCCTTCACCTTGCACAGGTGCTTTAGGTCAATGTAAATGGTTTAGCACATATGATAACTAGTTTATCTTAGGGAAATTCCCAAAACATGGCCTGTTGGGGTTTTTTGAGGACTGAGACTGGGAACCTCTGGTCCAGTGGGATATATAAAAGGAAAACTTACAATATTTCGTACTCCTCCAGCAACAGCAATATTTTCCACTGATAATCCAGTCCTGGAATGTGAATTAGACCTCAACTTTCTCATGTACAAATCAGGACTGCTGGTCCTGCATTGTAAGTAATGGCAATGGTGAGCAGATGGATGGTCACATGACCAGACTCTGGGGTGGAAGTTGAAGAGTGCCCAGTACAAAAGTTCATAGCATTCAGGGGTCTATTTGAAATGTTTATTAGTTAAGAGAATCAGGTAAAGCTAATGCGTTTCAGGGGATTGTGTATCCATCAGAACCTAGCCCCGACTCTATTGGCTTTGTGGGGACCAATCATGGATATTGGAATTAGCAGGGAAGAATCCTGTGGGGCCAAGGAATGGGGTAAGTTGTCATCCCTAGACCAAATGACCATTAGACTTATATTATACAAGGAGGGGGGTGCACCCAAATGTGATTTTTATCAAGCTAACGGAGTTCACTTTTAAGAATGGTGATGAATGGTTTATCCTGTTTTTCTAACCAATTTGCTCATTGGTATTTAAACCCTGACAATGAACTTCTTCTACTTGCTCCAATTTTGACTGCTAAATATACAATGGGAAAAATGTCCTAATATTTGTTTGGTAATTGCATAAAACGTTGATCCTACTATAAATCTTATAATCTGAATACTTCTGTGATCTCTGCTTTGCTGGATTCCTAATAGTAAACCATGATCCCAGCTTTCTCTGTGGCCTACAGAACATCTCCCTTCATGTTATTGAGATGAGAAGAGGAGGAGATATTCTGTAGTCCTGTGTTAAACTGACAATGTTGCTCAAACACAAGCAGATGAAAGTCAAACATGTAGGAACCAAAAGGCAGCCAAGGTACACACATGTGGTTCTTTCCTTTAGAAGGCTAATACTACTGAACATATTGGGATAACCAAACCCAGGTGTGCTGTATGCAGATGCTAACCTGTTGGGAATCTCTACCTCTTCTCCCACATACAGGCCCCTACAGATCACAGAAAAGGTATATGCCTACCAGTAGTCACGTGTGACACATTTGTTTCTTTATGCTTGTGATAGGTTTACTTCAAGGTTATGCAAGTTCATTGTGTCATTGTGCGAACAATTACAGACAGGGGCTCTCCAATCTTTCTAAACAAGGGTTCAGCTTGCTATACGTTAGATTTTAGGGGGGTCAGACTGTGGCCAGTGGGAATAGATAATACCCTAGCATCAGTGGGGACAAACAATACCCCATCATTGGTATCAGTAGAAGGAATAGTGCCCTATTTGTTGGTATTGGTGGAAGGAACAATGCCCCATCCTTGGTGTAAGTAGAAGGATTGATGCCCCTTCATTGGTGTGAATGAAAGTAATAGTACCCCATCACTGATGCCAGCGGAAGGAATTGTGCCCTATCATTGGTGTCTGTGGGAGGTATAGTGCCCCATCATTGGTATCAGTGGGAGAATATAGTACCCCATCATTGGTGTTAGTGGAAGGAATAGTGCCCCATCATTGGTGTTAGTGGGAGGAATAGTACCCCATCATTGATGTCAGCAGAAGGAATTGCGTCCCACCATTGGGGTCTTTGAGAGGTATAATGCCCTATCATTGGTGTCAGTGGGAGGAATAATGCCCTAACATTGGTGTCAGTGGAAATAAAAGTGCCCCATCATTGGTGTCAGTGGGAGGAATAGTGCCCCATCATTGGTGTTAGTGGGAGGAATAGTACCCCATCATTGATGTCAGCAGAAGGAATTGCGTCCCACCATTGGGGTCTGTGGGAGGTATAATGCCCTATCATTGGTGTCAGTGGGAGGAATAGTACCCTATCATTGGTGTCAGTAGAAGGAAAAGTGCCCCATCATTGGTGTCAGTGGGAGGAATAGTGTCCCATTGTTATTATCAGTGGGAGGAATGTAGCCCCATCAATGGAGTTAGTGGGAGGAATAGTGCCCCATCATTGGTGTCTGTGGAAGGAATAGTACCCCATTGTTATTGTCAGTGGAAGGATATTGTTCCCCCTTCGTTGGTGTCAGTGGAAGGAATTATGCTACATCATGGGCGTTCATGTGAGAGAAATAGTGCCCCAAGGGCCAGATAGAGGCAAGCAAAAAGGCCAAACTTTGGAGACCACTGCCATAAGGGATTGTGCTGATGGACAAATTCAGCTGACAATTCAGGTTTCGAAATGTATGAAATATTTCTGAGATCATTCAGCATTTATTGACATGTACATTTGACCAGCACAGTGGCTAAATGGTTAGCACTTCCGCCTGGCAGTACTAGGGTTGTTGGTTTGAATCCCAGCCACGGCACCACCTGCCTGGAGTTTGCATGTTCTCCCTGTGCCTGTGTGGGTTTCCTCTGGGTACTCCAGTTTCCTCCCACACTCCAAAGACATGCTGGTAGGTTAATTGGATCCTGTCTAAGTTGTCCCTAGTATGTGTATGTATGAATGTGAGTTAGGGACCTTAGACTGTATGCCCCTTGAGGGTTAGGGACCTTAGATTGTACACCCCTTGAGGGTTAGGGGCTGATGTGAATGTCCAATATATATGTATATGTAAAGCACTGTGTAAATTGACGGTGCTATATAAGCACCTGAAATAAATAAAATAATAGTTGGGCCTCCTTAGATCTCATTTTTTGGTTTCATCAACTTGCTTCAATACTTTTGAATTTCTATTGGCTTGTATGGGGAGAGATGCCCATAAAGAGATAAAAAAAATGAATGATCACTTTTATTAATAAGAACAAAAACAATAGTAATGAACACACTTGGTGAATCATGAAAATGAATGATTACCAAAATCAATCTATGAATACCCAGCCATGTAAAAGTGTAACAAATTCTAAAAAAAAAAATAGATGCTTACCACAAAATGACTGTTCATTACAAAGACCTCTCGACACACACGATTGTCTTGTGTCATGTGAAAACAAAAAAGAAACACAAGCGTTATAGCATTATTGCAGATATTTCTTGAACAAATTGAAAACATTTAATGATGTACATGAAGAATATCAGGCCTTCAAACATCTAAACATGCATGGTCCAGCCACCAAACAATCACTGTCCAAATATGCATGAAAGTGTTGGTCGAACTTTCAGGTTTCAAAGACGTTGAAGAGGTCAGGGGTTGGCTTGTCTCAAGGGACATTAATGGTGATTGGCTGAAATAGGTTCTCCTGAGCAGGCTCAGATGGGGAACATTGGGGACAGCCTACAGACCTAAGATGGGTTCCAGATCCCATATAGTTAAAAACATTTAGGTAAGGGATCTACTCTGCATATAAGTTACAATATATTTGTGCATTTACATCACGACAGTCTTTGCGTAGTTAAAGCGGAGTTCCAAATTATTTAAAAAAAAAGTCAGCAGCTACAAAAACTGTAGCGGCTGATTTTTAAAATGCAGCCACTTACCTGTCCCTCGGTCCAGCGGTGTCCTCACCATGACTGGTTTCATCGGCCGTCTTCTCTATCCGGCGCCGGCATCTTCAGTGAGGGCACCCGGCTGTGACAGCTTGCAGCTTCACAGCCGGGTACCCACTGCGCATGTGCGAGTATCACTGCGCTTTGTGAATGGTCCCGTAGTCTTCTTGTACCTGTCATGTGTCCCAGAAGACTACGGGGAGAGAGGGGGGGCGGACAACTTCTGCTTCCGATCGCCTTAGGCGATTGCAATGGAAGTGGGAGTGGGTACCTGTCAAATTCGGGTACCCGCTCCCCCCCCCGCTCCCCAAAGTTGCCAGTCCTTAACGGGGAGCGGGGAACAATGCATTAAAGTGGAACTTACCCTTATGGGTGGAGCTCCACTTTAATAGGGCGTGTGCATAGGCTTGCATGCATATTATAAAATACTGTTTACCTAAACAGTAGTTATTGCACTCTATGTTCATTTTATGTTCTCCATTGTCCTAAAATGACCCGGGGAAACTGATAGTTCTGGGGGTGTCATTCACCTGGGTCCCTTGTAGAGATGAGCTCAGTGTGCAGACATTCACCAAAACACTGAACTTTTAGGGTGTTTGGTGTGGATGAACATGACAGCTTCCAACTGTTAATCATTGCAAAGGAAGCAACGGGTGCCTGCAGTCACCGTGTCCCTACCAATGACGGACCTTACACAGGGCAAAGCGGAGGGGTTCGGGTGGTTACATCATTGCCTAAATACGGCCACATGACCACATTTGGGCAATATCATTGCCCTTTTATGGCCATGGCCATATTTTGGCAATGATGTTACCACTATCCCTGCCCCTCTCCTTATATTGCAGACAGGGCCGGGACAAAGGGAGGGCAGAAGGGACAGCTGCCCTGGGCACTGTGGTATCATGTGAGTTTGGAGGGGGCACCACAAGGAGATTGGGGGAGGGGATTTTTGTTAGAAGGGGGAATTTTGGAGACGGCAGGGGATATTTGGGGAGTGATGATTTGGGTGGATTTGTGTTGGGAGGGGTAAAGGGGAAAAATAATTTGTGCTAGGAGGGGTTTGTGCTAGAAAAGGAAATATGGTAGAGGGGGGAGCGGAATTGTGGCAGGAGGGCACATTTTTTGGTGGGGGTAAATTGTGCTCGTAGGGATGATTAAGGGAGATTTGTGCTAGAATAGGGGATTGGGGGAGGGGAATTTGTGCTTGGAGGGGAAGGGGTTTGGAGTGGGGGGAAGAGGATTTTTGCTAGGAGGAGGGTTTTTATGGGGGATGGGATTTGTGATGGGGACATACTGGGATTGAGAGGATTTAAACTGGGGGGATGGGATTTATGCTGAGGGGGATTTCAGCAGGGGGGTGAATTTGTACTGGAAGGAGGGGAAATTTATGCAGCAAAGCATGCAGATTAGTGCTTGATTTCGTTAGGGGGGGAGGGGATTTTTGCTGATAGATCTTGTGGGGGGGGGGGGCATGTTTGCCCTGGGCTCGAGATGACCTTGTCCCAGATGACAGCTCGGGGAAGCTTTTTTTTTTCTTGCAACCCTCTTCCTGTTATCCAAGGAAATTGGTATTTTTGATTTGACAGACTCAGCTCTCATTGACTTCATTGGATTTGACTTCAGCACCTCTACTTCTTCGAAGTTCGTCGAGCCCTGCTTGAACCGAGGCCAGGGCAGTTCAGCTCATCCCTAGTCCCTTGAAGCCCTCACTGATTCCTCCCTTTAACCTCACATTGCTGTAGAATAGTAGTAATGTCTAGTCTGGGGAAGGAACCAATAAAGACTTGGGAGACCCAGAAGATAGACACTCACAGGGGCAGACTGACCATTTGGAAACTCGGGCACTGCCCGAGGGACCGGGGTCAGTAGGGGGCCCCATGAGATGCCCCTGGTACTTTTTTCATAGGCTTTTTTGAGTTTGGGCAAGGACACAGGGGCCCCATGATCCCCTATTGCCCGGGGGCCCCATGAGTTGTCAGTCCGCCCCTGGACACTCAATAAATGATTGGTTTCCCAGTAGTCGGGGTTCAATGGTACAGCATTAGAGCTGGATTTGTTTTCTATTTAAAGGTTTATGAAGTGAACTTTGCTTGGGGATGGGAAGACTGTGTGCCAGGAGACCTTCAACCTGGAGCTCAGATTTAATGTCCAAAGTCTGGGGACCAATGCCCTTTATCTGCAATATAACACACATACAAAAGGACTTTTTAAAATGTGTTGATTCTCTTGGACACAAACAGAAAACACAGTTAAATTTACAATCATATGAATTCTTAAGGGACAGAATTAGGAAACATAAGCATGCACTCAACAGCCCTATGTGGGCTCCACATTGTCTTGTAATTACAAAATAGCCCACATAGTGCTTCAATTACCATAATCACAACACAGACAACATACACATACACTGGTGATAATGCAACTGATAATGGAATGTTAATTAGACCACTAGATGTGCTACTAATGTGCACCGGCATTACCTATTCAATGGCCAATATGTTCTAGAATTATTTCTAGCACTTATTGGACTATTTGTGCTTTTTATTGCCTTTTTCTTACAATTCTATTTTATGAGCAGGTAGTGCATTCAAATATTTATAATACGTTTTTGCCCAGATACACTTGTCTTAGAGGAAATCTACTTAGGGTGAAGACCCCGATCTCTCTGATGAGACCTTCACCTCATATTGACTGAGATGTCAAGTGAAACCATTTTGGCACCAGCATAGAAAAGACGATCTTTGTAATGTTAAGCTGAGAAGAACATTCCAAGATGTACCGTACTTTTCGCTCCATAAGACGCACCTAGGTTTTAGAGCCAGAAAACAGGAAAAAAAAATTCTGAACTAATGGACTGCAGACATAGTACAGGAGATGACCAGAGACTGTGGACAGCAAAGGGATGACCAGAGACTGTGGACAGCACAGGGATGACCAGAGACTGCGGACAGCACAGGGATGACCAGAGACTGCGGACAGCACAGGGATGACCAGAGACTGCGGACAGTACAGGAGATGACTGCTGACCTTTGGGGAGGGGGGGGGGGAGCGGGTACCTGAATTTGACAGGTACCCGCTCTTACTTCCGCGGAGTTGTTCTTTGATCTTACCTGTTCCTCTATCCAGCCGCGCGCTGTCTTACCGTCTTCTGTAGTGTCGGCGCTCAGCATGACAGCCGGGTGCCCAGTGCGCATGAGCGAGAAGCACTTGTGCTTTGTGATTGGTCCGGCGGCTTCTGGGATCGGTCATGTGTCCCAGGTGCCGCCTTACCATTCACAAAAAGCACCGCTTTTTGCGCATGCGCACGTGGCACCCGGCTGTCAAGCCCAGCGCCCACACTACAGAAGCTGGGAAGACAGAGCGCCGCTGGATAGAGGAACAGGTAAAGTCAAAGAACAACTCCGCGGAAGTAAGAGCGGGTACTTTTTCAAATTCAGGTACCCGCTCCCCACCTCCCCAAAGGTCAGCAGTCATCTCCATAAGGTCCCGCTGCAGAGCTGAGGGGCCGGCCCGGTATTCTGACACGGCGGCGGTGGAAATACCGGATCGGCCGCTCCATATTCGCTCCATAAGACGCACTGACATTTCCCCCCCTTTTTTGGGGGGAAAAAAGTGCGTCTTATGGAGCGAAAAATACGGTAAGCTCTCGAAGTTTTTGACTTCCACCATTTCGCACAACCAGACCACACAATGGTAGACCTCAATATTTTAAAATTTCAGATCCATTCAGGAAAGAAAAAATTTTGAATTAAGAATGATAATTCTATTTGACACAAGAGATAACGGCCTTAATTTGGACTTGGGATTCCTCAATCATTATCCAACAGTTTTATGACGATCAGCTCAAGCATGACTCCCTCTGTGTGAGTGTTGTATTTTGCTTTGCTTTTGCTGTGTCTTATCTCTAGCCTCTTTTTTTTTTCTTTTTTTTTCCATCTCTTCTAACATTCTGCTAAAACATTTTGAGTAGTACTTGTTGGACCTTGAAGAAGGGGACACTCCCCGAAAGCTTGTCCTCAAAATTGTATGTTAGTGCAAATAAAAAAAGTATCACAGACAGGACTCAGTTGTTTCTGACTTCCACCAAACACCCTCAACTGACGGCTCCAGGCCAGAGTACTGAGCCAAATGGCTGAGTCAGTCTAAAGAGAGGTGTAGCTGAGGAGCTAAACATGGAACCCCAATATTTAATTTAAAAACTCTTTGGTACAGCTTGTGGGTTGAGTTCTACAACACTATACACAAATGAGATCCTGCTCAGCAAACAGAGTTTACCTGATTTGAAAAGTCAATAGGTTTTTCCACCAAAAAGAGCATCTAGCAGCAGTCCAAAAAGGTGTTTTACTGATTTCATGACAACATGGAAAACAACAGAGAAAGACAGCAAATGCGTTTCAGAGGCCCCCAAATCCCTCTTCATCTGGGCTTTCAAATGTGGTTTAAATTCAATTGAACTCTAGGTCAAAATCCAAGATATCTGGTGCCCAACCTGAGGCCAGGGGGCCGCATGTGGCACTTTGGTCCTTCTTGCCTTCAGCCCTCGGAGCCCTGCAGAAATTGATATGTGTTTCTCTATTTCTCTGTTGTGGCAGTGCCCTGTTGCAGGTGGAAATGCTAACCACTTATCCCCTGGCAGCACTAGGGTCATTAGTTTGAATCCCAACCATGGCAGTACCTGCACAGAGTTTGCATGTTCTCCCTGTGCCTGCATCGGTACTCCGCTTTCCTCCTACAGTCCAAAGACATGCTGGTAGGTTAATAGGCTCCTGTCTAAATTGTCCCTAGTATGTGTATGTATGAATGTGAGTTAGGGACCTTAGATTGTACACCCCTTGAGGGTTAGGGACTGATGTGAATGTACAATATATATGTAAAGTGCTGCGTAAATTGACGGCGCTATATTAGTACCTATAATAAATAAATAATAATGTCTCCTGAAGCAGGTGGATGTGGTGGAGAGAAGGTAAGTTGGAGCCAGGGGCGGACTGACAACTCATGGGGCCCCCGGGCAATAGAGGATCATGGGGTCCCTGTGTCCTCACCCACACTCAAACCACACCCAAAAAAGCATATAAAAAAGGTACCAGGGGCATCTCATGGGGCCCCCTGCTGACCCCAGACCCTTTGGGCAGTGCCCGACTTTCCAAATGGTCAGTCCGCTCCTGGTTGGAGCACAGCATGACAGTGAAAACTGTTGGAGCAGCCATGAAAGTGCGGCCCACTGGTTGATTGCCACTGATTAGGAGCTTACGTAGGTGAGGGGGTGCCCTCCCCTACTGCTGCACCATGGGCGGCTGTCCCTTCTGCCCACCCCTTGTCCCGTCCCCATCTGTACTACCTGTCTTTACACATGCACAGGGAAATCTGTATGTGTGCAAGTGTGCCCCGCGGGGCTGTAAGGACCTGAAGACCTGTCGCACATCTGCAATGTGCAGGGGGTGGTTGTGGTTCGCAAACAACATTCATGCATAGGTGCAAAATGCAGAAGTGCAATAAAAAATATAAATATAAAAAAACTATATTCAATTTGAAGAGAGGTAGGGGGGAAGAGGCAGGGCAAGAGAACATTAGGTTTAGGGTGAAGAGCCACTTTTTATTCACGTGTCGGCCTCCCAAATCTTATGTACAGCAGAGCTCAGACTAGGGGAGGGTGATGCTGCCCATTGAGCCAGTCATTTATGCTGCAGCGATCACCAGGGACATGCTGAAAGGAATGGGGAAACATAGTGACAGAGAGATGAGCTCATCAGAGGGAGGGGCCTGACCTGTAAGTGGTACTTAACTGCAACAGAGCAAAAACAGGGCTTTTGCCCCTCCAGATAGGGTTGGGCTGTTTTTCAGAGTGGTATAAATTTCAGGATTGGATAGACAGAAAGGCAAATCCACTAACAGTCTACACAACTCATTATATCTATCTATCTATCTATCTATCTATCTATCTATCTATCTATCTATATATATATATATATATATAGATATATATATATATTATTATACAGGATTTATATATATTATTATTATTATACAGGATTTATATATTATTATTATTATTATACAGGATTTATATATTATTATACAGGATTTTATATATTATTATTATTATTATAATACAGGATTTATATATTATTATTATACAGGATTTATATATTATTATTATTATTATACAGGATTTATATATTATTATTATTATTATACAGGATTTCTATAGCGCCAACAGTTTGGTCAGCGCTTAACAATATAACGGGAGACAATACAGCAACAATACAGTTCAATACAAGAGGGATAGGAGGGCCCTGATCCTTGGAGCTTACAATCTAGGAGATATATATATATATATATATATATATATATATATATATATATATAAATAGATAAAAAAAAAATATATATATATATATTTTTTTTTTATGTATGTATGTATGTATATATATATATATATATATATACATACATAATATATATATATATATATATATATGTGTGTGTGTGTGTGTGTGTGTGTATTTAGCTTTTTGTCTGGGGTTCGGCATGGACACAGCCATCAAAGAACGTGCAGTATGTTTTATTTCTTTTGGCTACATTATAAATGGGGAATCGCCTAAAGGTTCTATGTAAAAAATAACCAAGTATAGGCAATGTTGACCTGTTTCTGCCATCATCTGTCTTGACAGATTTATTTTTTACATCTACCAGCACCAATCTGCCATGACACGATCACTTTATTTTTTTCATTTTCTTGCCTTTTCGGCCCTGTTACGGTTTTTTCCATTTGATCCATTGTAATCTTTGCAGACAGCTGCTTTGATGCTCCGGCTGATATTGTACACCAGGGAGGTGCTAAATGTACAATTTCATTACGGCGGCATTGTTTCTGCCGCCTGTATCCATGACATAACCATGGTCAACTTTCCATAGTATATTGGAGTTAATCGGATGTTAACTTCTCTTGCCAGATGGCAAAGGATAAAGCACTTTCAGTCTATACAATGTGTGACCTACTTAAAAGACCAACAATCTGCTGCTACCATAGAGCAGAGCAAATGCAATTTTGCTTCCCGATTTAAAACAAAACATGACATATAGAACAGCGCGTCTCTCCAAGGGAGCAAAATATTAAAATGTAATACCAATCGCAGAGAGCAGATTATAAAACCGAAATAGTTTATCTGATTTAAAAAGATATGAGCAACAATTATTTTATATAATGCAAGACAGCCAAACAAATCACTTTAACACAGAAAACATATGTGATACATTCCTACAATCTATATACTATTATATCTTATGATTATACAGGATTTATATGGAGTTAAGAGTCTGTGCAGCGCTGCACAAAATAAAGGGAGACTGTACCATTACAATGCAATTCAATACAAGGGGGTTAGGAGGGCCCTGGTTGTTGGAACTTACAATCTAAATCAGAGTATCTCAACAAGGGTTCATGGAACCCTAGGGTTCCTACAGTGGTTGCTAGGGGTTCCTTGAACAATAACAAATTTCTGCCTACAGTACCTAGAGTTCCTCCAGAGATTTGCCATGGGTTCCTTGAGCACTTAGCAATTTCTGCCTATCTAGGGTTCCTCCAGAGGTTGTTAGGGGTTTCTTGAGCAAAAAACAATTACTGGCTACCTAGGGTTCCTTCAGAGGTTGCTAAGGGTTGCATGAACAATATGCATTTTCTGCCTACCTAGAGTTCCTCCAGAGTCTGCTGGGGGTTCCTTGAGCAAATAACAATTTCTGCCTACCTGGGGTTCCTCCAGAGGTTGCTAGGGGTTCCTTGAGCAATTTCTGCCTACCTGGGGTTCCTCCAGAGGCTGCTGGGGGTTCCTTGAGCAAAGAGCAATTTCTGCCTACCTACAATTCCTACAGAGGTTGCTAGGGGTTCCTTGTGCAATTTCTGCCTACCTGGGGTTCCTCTAGAGGTTGCTAGGGGTTCCTTGAGCAAAGAGCAGTTCCTGCTAACCTAGGGTTCCTTCAGAGGTTGCTAGGGGTTCCCTGAACAATATGCATTTTCTGCCTACCTAGAGTTCCTCCAGAGGCTGCTGGGGGTTCCTTGAGCAAAGAGCAATTTCTGCCTACCTACAATTCCTCCAGAGGTTGCTAGGGGTTCCTTGAGCAATTTCTGCCTACCTGGGGTTCCTCCAGAGGTTGCTAGGAGTTCCTTGAGCAATTTCTGTCTCTCAGGTAAGTTCCCACTAACACCACTGATCTTCTTTAGCCATCTTTAAGGTGGTAATTCTTCTCATTGACCACAAGTGTATGGAGCACTCTTCCCACTGACCATCACCCCAATGAATCATGGGTGGTAGATACAGAAATTTTTAGAAAGGTGTCCTCGAACCTGGAAAATTATTTAAAAAATCCCTCTGTGTTGACAATGTTGAGAAAGGCTAATTAAGTGGTTCATGTGATACAGAAGGTCATAACTGTTAGGAAGGATCTGATGGAGTTCAGTTGTTAGA